TCGGGGGCCGGTGCACTGTTAGGAAGGGGGTGGGGGGGGGGGGGGGGAGAGGGGGAGTTATGGAGGCAGGCAAGGTAGGGGAAGCAAGTGACTGGTGCCAAGGTGCAAAAGGGGACAAATGGTGGAAGTCAGGCTGCTTCATTTCCTCCCCTCAAGACTCATTGGTTACCGTACTGCCTGCCCCCCTCTTGCTGCTTTCCCCACTGCAGAGTTCGAGCCATTCAGTAACTAAATTCCTCCACTGCTTTACTCTATTTTCAGTCAAGTCTTCTAAGGTCCTACCTCTATGCCAAGATCCTGGAAAATCTGGGGTTTTCTATGTGTCAGGGCTCCCTTGGATCCAAGGCACCCTGCATCGGCTGTCCCAATCCCACCAACCCTGAGTTTCCCTAACAGCCCAAAAGACTTGCAATACTGACTGGTGTGGCCAAACAGAGTCTGTGGAGCTGTGTCATCTGGCCTGTGGGGATCCTTGTCGGTCTAGAAATTTGGCAGCAGAGTAGCAGAGTAGCAGTGGCAGCTCCTAGAGCTGCAGCAATTAGCACTTGTTCTGCCACTGAATTTCCAGACATACGAGGAACCCCACAGGCCAGAACACATGGCCCCACATACCACACTGAGCCTATGGACTGGGCCCATGCCACTCATCTGCCCTATGGATAAGGTGGTTAAAGCTTGCATGGGGGATGAATGAGTTGGGCAACCCGGTATTGACAAATCAGCATTTTCCAATGAAAAACTTGCACTGGAAAACACCAAACCCATTTTTTTTCTCACCCACAGAAGTCAAAGATTTGCTATGCTGGGAACTTTAGTAACGTCCTATTGTTTCAGAACAAACCAGCCAAAACTCCAACCAACAAAGTCAAGTGTTGACCCTTCTAAACCCAACTCCACTTACTTCAGATAGATCTACACTTTTCCTTTCTTCTAAATTACAGTGTTTGAGATGACAGAACTAACAGTTTCTTCAACAGCCATGTCAGAATGTCTACATTTCAAACAGGCACTGCCAAACAACAATGAAAATAATAATAATAAAAATAATTAATGTTTCAACAATCCAGCAAGCTGAAAATTTCCATCACTATATCTGAAATTCTCCCAGTCTAACAGGGAAACTGCATTCTTTATCTGTGGTTATCCATTTATTATGCCTCATACCTATCTCTGACATATTAAAATGTAAATTATGCTACAGAGTTAAATTGATGGGAACACTTCAATGAAAGTATATGAGCTTTAGGTCATAATTATAGGGTGACTCGTAGAAGAAATAATGGAAGAGGACAGAAATGGAATTGTATGCCTGAAACTGCAGGCTAGACATATTTTTTGTTAATGGAGATGTTTCAGAATAAAAGAATTCTCAGGGTTTTTTTTATTAGATGGATTAAACCTGAACATAAGTTAAGTCATTTGAAAAAAAAACTTTCTGTATAGATTTTTTTCCTATATGCACCCAATAACAATCTTCATTTGGAAAAAATACCCTATGTGCACCATAACATGAAGCTAAAGCCCAATTCAGCCTTAGCATGACTCCATTTATCATGCTGAATGAAGTTACACTAGAGGTGGATTTGTCTCCAGGGGTGAATTCAATTGGCTTGTTGAATAGATTAATGCAATGCCTTCTTACTTCTGGAGACTCGGTTTCTTTCTTGAATTGTATTGGTGGACAGGCTAATCTGAGCTCTATTTGTAGATATTACAAAACTACTTGTACAAATAGCTTGAACCCTAGTGAAATGGAGGCCTAGAGATACAAGAGGACAGATCAGACTAAAGCACATTAGCAGAACTGTAGATTTATATTTGCATAGACCCTTTCCATGTTATGGGTGAAAACATGCAGCTCTCACTCAGGAAAAATTCCCACTGAAGTCAATAAGAGAATTGTCCAAATAAGGAATGCAAGATCAGGACCAATGCTACTATTAGTTCTTTGCTTTCATGAGCATATCCTTCATTATTCATGAATAGAAACTCTATCCTTATTCAGAGACACCCCTTTTTAACTCCAGAAAAATAAGAGCTGTGAGACACCATGCAACTGGGAATCATTTAAAGATTAAATTAAACAAAACAGAGCTGTTCATAGCAAATGTTTGGAACCATAAATAGAGTACCAATCCTTCTGTGCTCACTGAAGTCAATGAGTGTTTTGCCAATCACTTCAGTGGGGCCACAATCAGGACTACACAGCACTTTTCATCCCCAAAAGGAGTACAAAGGGAGAGGGAGGACCTATAAGCCTCTGAGAGGGATATAAACCATGCATGAAAATAAGCAACATGGTTCTGTGCAAAAGCTGGAGTCATGCAACTTCCTGTCTCATTTTTTCTCTCAGTGTTTAAAAGAAGTGATGGAAATACTTTATGTGTACAGTACATCCAGGATATGCATTACCATTTGTCTGTTACAAAAGGAGAATATGATTTTCAACATATTCATTGTCTCTGCTTAACAGTCAGCAAATGTGGCCCACCAGAATACACTAAGTTTATATAAGAAAGTACTTTCTTTAGTAACTGTCACAGTGTGCTGCCAAATGCACTATGCCATAATTGCACTTGCAAAGGCCCCATTTGCATAAACATGGGTATTTGTAAAAGGCCAAAGGAAAGGGCTCATGCCCCAGGTAAGACAAGCAGCAGTTCCACTGCTATTCTGCCCCAGAGTTCAACCAGTGGAGGGCATTATAGGTGAAGGATTGCTGAGAGAGCAGAAAGATCAGTATATCATCAAGCTGGCCTGCTTTCAATACTGTGTACTTGAGACTCTGGAATCAATCAATATTTCAAACAGCTTTAGGTCAGACGAGCAAAAAAAAAAAAATTCAACAAAAAACAAAAGACTGTTATAGGATGCTAATATAGGGCACTGACAGACATGGAAAAAACCAAAGCACACTTTACCAGAAGAGGCAGCATGTTAGTTTGACCCATCTCTGCAGCGTCTGTATAAATTGGGTACTTTAAAGGGGCTTTTTGACTCTTTCATCCAATAGCTGATTCAATCCCTGTGTGCACCAATCGGCTATTCAATAGGCCTGTGCGAATAGGGAAATATTCAATTCAGATTTGACCGATTCGGAGGACGGTAATTCGATTCGGTGATTCAATTCACTGTCCCCATTCAATTTGGCTGAATCAGAATCGGAGATTCAGCGCTGATTTGGCACTGATTCAGAGATTAGGATTGGCCGGGAAGAGGCAGGCACAACCAGGTGGCTGCAGGTTATCCCGTGGTTCCTCCAGCTGTGCCTGCCTCTCCCCAGGTCGGGGAGCTGCAGAAGAAGTCCCCATGGCTGCCCTGCCCAGCCCCATCCCCCACCTGCCCAGCCTCCTGGCACTTTAAAAAAAAAAAAAAAGACCTGCACTCACCAGCTGTAGCAGCGGCTTTGGGGAATCTGGGGTCTTCTGGCAGAGCCCCCCTACACAGCCCATGCTCCCCAATCACGCCCCGCCACTGTCCGGCCCCACCCCCAATGGCTGCTCCTGCCAGCCCAGAACCCTGGCAATTTAATTTAAAAAAAAAGCCCCGCACTCACCGGGTCTGGCAGTGGCAATCAGGGTTTCTGGGCACCCGGATTGGTGAGTACAGGGCTTTTTTTCCCCCTTTTTTTTTCACTTGCTGGGAGACTGGTGCCAGTTGAAGCACCCATCGAGGGCAGCGGGGGACGACTCTGCCAGGAGACCCCAGTGCCCCCACAGCCACTGCTACAGCCAGTGAGTGCATGGCTTTTTTTTTTTTTAATGCCAGGAGGCTGGTGTCAGGCGGGGGATGGGGATGGGCAGGGTAGCCATGGAGGCTTCTCCTACAGCCTCCCCTGACCAGGGAGAGGCAGACACAGCCGGAGGAGCCGTGGGAGAACCTGCAGGCTGTGCCTGCCTCTCCCCAGCCAATCCAAATCTCCAAATCTCTCTGAATCTTTTCCAAATCCATTCAGAAGATTCAGATTTGATTCAGACCTTTTAATGGGTCTCCAGATTCAGTTCAGATTCAGAGACTCAGGCCGAATCTCCTCCAAACTGAATTGACTACCGAAGCTTCTCACCGCCCTACTACTCAATCCCTACGTGCACCAATCAGCTATTAGATAAATGGGTTAAAAAGTCCTGCTGTAGCACCCAATCTATACAGACGCTGGTCAAGCTGGGTCCAACTAATGTGATGACTCTTCTGGGCATGTGCTGCACTCAGTATGGAGGCACACTGAGCTTAAAGTAAAGCTCTGTTTTTTCCCCCTCCAAGCTGCTTCAGATATCCTGATGGATACGATATGTCACTGCTCCCACTAGTGGTAGCTGGAAACCCATTACGTTAACATAGGATTAAGTCTGATTCACTGAGTATGTGTCACCTGCTAATAAAGCTCCTGCTTTATTAAAAGGTTGCTTACAATAACCAACCAATTTCATGAGTCCTTTCTGTGAAGTCTGATAACAAATTTAGGTGGACTACCAAAAAGAAAACACAACAGCTCTCATACTCTGTTAATGTCTGGCATTGATATATTTCCTCTTTTCAAAGAAAAAAATTGCACTAGTGATACTTTTGAGACCTACCTTGCCCAACCCTGGAGTGTCTTTTACTTTGCTGACTGCCCTCAGCAAACATGGTGGTGCTGGGGGTGGGGAAGTCTGCAGGATAGTGCTGAAGCTGGTGGAGAAGAGAGGAGAGTCAGGGACAGATGATGTAGATGGCCGATGTTTCTTCTTTTTAGAAGAAAGGTTCAACTTCTGAGCAGCTCTGTGGGGGAAAAATGACAAGAGTGAAGTATAAAAAATGACCTCAGCAAACTATCAATTATTATTAATGTATTTGTACCTTCACATGTACAAAGACTCCTCAGTTTTGACTTCATTGACCCCAAAAGCTTTAAAGGTCTCGTTTACAACCATTTCTTACTGGCATAATTGCATTGACTTTGGTGGTCTGCAGTAAGTGGGATCAAAATTAAGCACCCCTGCCTTGTCACTGTATTGTCCGCCAATTTAGTCTGCAGGAGCTCTCCTGAATCTACAGTTCAATAATTACTCATTCAGCCATTTATGTTATAAAATAAACCTCTATCAATTAAATGTTTTGCTATTTGTGTTCACAAATAATCATTTGTCACCCATAAGCCTTTGGTTAGAAAATGAGTATTTGTGGAATTTTTGGATGTAAGTAGCCACTATTATGTTAATTATGATTAAATGTTCAGGTGAATTAACTGGAGTGTAAGGAGCCTTGAACTAGTTATTTTAAAATTCTCACACCTCATAAAACATGAATCAGTCTGAAATCTGAACATGTGGTGACCCAAGTTATGCTTTTTGCAAGATGGAGAAACTAGAGTTGTATTAACAATTTAGTAAATTAAACCAATTAGACCTTGATTTAGCAACTTAACATTGAACAAGAATGCTGTTGTTTGCCTAGGCTCTGAATCAAAAAGCTAAAGGGTTTTTATATATTAGAATGACAGTTTTATACCCTGCTGCAATTTAAAAATAATTGGTCTTTTTTTAATTTGGAAAGTTTTCTAATTTTGACAAAAGATTCAATAATTAAACTAGTCACTGTGATTTTGCTCAGATACCCTTCCCCCCACCCACCCATACATGGTCTATATTGGTGCCAGGTAGGCACCCAAAATCAGTGACAATGTTCATGTCAAACTTCATAAACTAATTAAATCATTTTGCATCAAAGATTTTGAAAAGCCAAACATGAGTCTATTCGCACTCATCTCAGCTTTGAGCAGTTCTCATCCCTGCTGAGTAATTTTCTCTGTTAATCCCATTTTACCTCATAATAAATTAAGGCAGAGAGAAAACAAGGCCAATGCAGTCACTGACTCATTTTAGTCCTATATATATACACCAAGCTTCCTATAATCAGAGACCTGAGGAGGAATGTCTTGCATTGAAAAGCTTGTCTAGCTTTATCCCAACTACATAGTTGGTCCAATAAAAAAAAAGAGAGCACCTTAAGAAATCCTTGCCTCTTGTGTAACTTCTGAACCATCATGGCTACAACATCATTCTGCTACTACTTTTCCTGATTTATCACCTAACCTTCCCTTTTATGACCTTTTCTGGAAAAATAAAGCCTAAAAAGGGTATCAACAAGAAATGTACCATTTTTTTAGTTACAATGTTCTTTTGACTATGAGTTGACTCTTGACTATGAGTTGACTATGTTTTACTTTGACATGCTCACAAAAGGATTTATGAATCCCAGTTTTTAAAATGTTTCCTGGGCTAGCTATAGTTACATTTTTCTTTGAAGCAAAATCTTACATTGCATACACAAGTATGAGGCTGTGCACAATCTCAGCTATGAGACCTAAAAAACCCACTGCTGTATGCACATGCAAACTCAATAGTCTGCTTTTAAGGATAGGTAACTGCTAACACCTCAGGCTAAATTATAGCCTCAATTTCACTCATACAACCCCATTATCTCACGTCCTGGATGAAAGCCAAACTCTCAGTGAGCGTGTCTCCTGAGCAGCATTGTCTAAGTCAGTTTAGCCATGCTCTCTTCCTGCCAATTTACTGCTCCCCAACATCAGGTTGTTCCAGTTTCTATCCTGATCACTTAATACCTATAAACTACTTCTTGAACCAATGAAGAACATTTTTCTAACAAAAAATAGGAGGATAACTGGCCTTTTCAAAACCTTGGAACTATATCCTGTTTTGACAGTTGTAACCTTTGAGATGGCATTCAAACAGAAGAACCTGGATTTTTTTTTGGCCTGCAATGGTAAAATGTATGTAAGAGCAGCAACATGTTATATCTCTCTGCTTTATCCTGTTTTTTCCAAGAAGAGAAAAGTGCACTGTGTTATATTTGACTGTTTTACACTGTTTCTTTCAAGGAGAAAAAAAAATCAAAGGGAGGAGTATAGTTAAAAAAAAAAAAGCATCTGTGACAGTCTTAGATCTTGCTAGTTTTGAAATGTGATCAAAAAAGCAGTAACTAGATAATTCCCCAAGCATTTCAATAGATGAGTATGTTTAAACTGGCTTTAGGCTACCAGATGACAGTAGCTAGCATGACATTCATTTCTTTGAAAAGCGTATGCATGACAGACCTAAGAGGATTAGTAATGACAGCTAACCACAACTTGGTTGTGTAGTCCAGTAGGGAGGGCTGAGGTACCAAACCACTGCTTTTAGGCATGTTAAGTTGATGGTACTGCCTCATTCACTCTGAGGGCCATGACAAATAGGAGTCTGCTGCATATCTACTTGCATGTGATTAGTGGACAGGGCACAAGACTAGGACTCAGGGGACCAAGACTTAGAACCCAGCTCTGCTAATGACCATTTGCGTGACCACAGGCGACTGATTAGATGGAGTGACTTTCTGTACCCTGGCTTTTCCTTTCACCATTTACCTGTTCTGCCTGTTCAGGCTGTGAACTTTTTGAATAGGAGCAGCCTGCTTTTTGATATCTGTATAGGGTCTAGCACAACTGATCTCAATCTGAGCCTCTAGTCACTACCGACATAATAAATAGTAACAGCAGTGTGGCCTGACATATAACCAGGAAGCTGATCCTACTCAGATTGACCTTACTATCTCATCTGATCCCAGTGATCCAAATGTGAGTCCAACCCTGTACTCAGCTCTGCTGCTGAGGATCCCATGAACTGTTTTATACCTTTGTACAAAACCAGAATGTTCATACTTGTCTACACAGGGACACAAAGGAAAATTAATCCAAATTAACTGTTAAAGCATCTTAAACTGCCTGAAACCCTTGGGTAGATGCTGTTGTTGGCCATTATTAAAGTGGCTTTATTTTAAACTCATAATTGATTTCTAAGTAACTTAAAATAAATCAACTGAGGTCCATTGTAATAGTGAATGACACATTACTGTTTCATAGTATCATAGTTGGTAGGGTCGGAAGGGACCTGAGCTGATCATCAAGTCCGACCCCCTGCCATGGCAGGAAAGAGTAGTGGGGTCAAATGACTCTGGCAAGGTGATCATCTAGCCTCCTTTTAAAGACCCCCAGGGTAGGAGCCACTTCTCTGGAACCACTTCTCTTGGAAGGTGGTTCCAGATCCTAGCCGCCCTGACAGTGAAGTAGTGCCTCCTGATATCCGGCCTGAATCTACCCTCTGCCACCTTGTGACTGTTATTTCTTGTCACTTCTGGTAGTGCTCGGGAGAACAGGGACTCCCCCAATGCCTGCTGGTCCCCTGACTAGTTTGTAAACAGACACTAGATCCCCCCTCAGCCTTCTCTTGTGAAGGCTGAACAGGTCCAGGTCCCTTAGACTCTCCTCGTAGGGCCTGCTCCGCTGCCCCCTGATCATGCGGGTGGCCCTCCTCCGGACCCTCTCCATGTTGTCCACATCCCTCCTGAAGTGCGGTGCCCAGAACTGGACGCAGTACTCCAACTGCGGCCTGATCAGTGTCGCATAGAGGGGAAAGATCACCTCCTTGGACCTGCTTGAGATGCATCTGTGGATGCATAACAAGGTACGGTTGGCCTTCCTGACCGTGTCCCCACACTGTCGGCTCATGTTCATTTTGGCATCAATAATGACTCCAAGATCCTTTTCTGCCTCTGCACTGATGAGAAGGGAGTTCCCCAGCCTGTAGTTATGCTGCTGGTTCTTCCTCCTCAGGTGCAGCACCTTGCACTTGTCAGTGTTGAAACCCATCCTGTTTTCATCCGCCCACCCTTGTAACCCGTCCAGGTCCGATTGCAGCCCACTTCTTCCTTCTAGCGTGCCCACTTCTCCCCACATCTTAGTGTCGTCTGTGAATTTGAACACGGTGCTTTTTACCCCCTCATCCAAGACACTGATCAAGATGTTGAACAGCGGAGGCCCGAGGACCAAGCCGTGAGGAACCCCACTGCCCACATCCCTCCAAGTCGAATAAGACCCATCCACCACCACTCTCTGGGTGCGACCCTCCACCCAACTAGTGACCCATCTGACTGTGCACCACAGTCTCCTAGTTTTTTAATGAGAATGGGGTGAGACACAGTGTCGAAGGCCTTCCTAAAGTCCAGAAAGACTACGTCCACCACGACACCTGCGTCCAAGGATTTTGTGACCTGGTCACAGAAGGCCACCAGGTTGGTCTGACAGGACCTGCCTCTAATGAATCCATGTTGGTTGTCCATAGGGATAACCTCCCCTGCTGGCCCCTCGCGGACATGCACCAGGATAATTCTCTCAAAAAGCTTACCCAGGATCGAGGTAAGACTAACAGACCTATAGTTTCCTGGGTCCTCCTTCCTCCCTTTTTTTGAAAGTGGGAACCACATTGGCCCTTTTCCAGTCCTCTGGCACATTGCCAGAGCACCATGAGTGCTCGTAAAGCTGTGCCAGGGGTCCCGCAATGACCTCTGTTAATTCCCTCAGCACTCTGGGGTAGAGATCGTCCGTATCTGCTGATTTAAATATATCCAGTCCCTCCAGAAGTTCCCTGACTAGGTCCTCTCTTACCCTAGGCCTGGGTACGCCTCCCCTAGGGCCTACAGGGGTCCCAGTGGGGGGGATGACCTGGTCCCTGCTCAGAAAAATGGAGGCAAGGAAATTGTTAAATAGGTTAGCTTTGCTGTCTGGTGCAACGACCAGATTTCCTAGCATGTCCTGCAGAGGCCCCATGTTACTCAGTACCTTCTTTTTATCCACTATGTATTTAAAAAAGGACTTCTTGTTGTCCTTGATCTGGGTAGCTAGTCCCAGTTCCATCTCCGCCTTGGCCTTCCTGACCGCCCCCTTA